CACAGGTGCATAGTTTAGGATGGATAATCAAACATCTCAGTCATATCTGATTCAGGCTATAACCAAACTTTGGACTTCAGGCCTTACAGATGGGGCCCCTACCCTGAAACATACAAAATTGCCATAGCTAGGATCGCAGCAAAAGTCACTCCCAATAAATGGCTCCCAACATGGGGCTTAGGACTCACATAATGCATGTGCGTGTGGCCAGCAGTACAGGAGATCATGGGATGGGTATCATCCATAAATGAGATACCATAGATGTAAGAATAAAAGGTGAGCGCTCAAGTAAATACAGAAAATTAATATGGAAAAGCGGTGATGATATCAGGAGTAAAACTGTAAATATTTGTAAAAATCGGACAAGAAAATAGTATTCAATTGTCTGTACAGTTACTTGGATTTTGATAGCGAGAGGAGCTGGGGTGGAGCAAAAGCAAATGCAGAGAATTTTAGAGTTTTTAAATATTATGAATCTTCTACCATGTTAGTGGCATAGCCGCCAAAGACTCCCCAGCAAGCTGTGGTGCTGTGGACACAGGGCCACAGCAGCCCCTGAAAGGATAAAGGAAGTCCAGGGCAGCAACAGCCTGGGTTGCCACTAAGATTGTCGCCACCCGTGCTGAGCCAGCTGAGCCTGGCCTGTGCATGCTGTGAAGTCAGAGAAAAGGCAGGAGGGCTATACCTCCCACAGCCAGCCCTGGAGCCGGTCGGTGGGAAATGGGTAGAGGCTACTTGGCCCATGAACCAAGGAGCATATATGGCTAAATCAATGGCTTTTAACAGAGGAGAGGATTCAGGAATTCTTCCTATTTTGTGATTATAAGACTTAAAATAAGAAAGCAGGGGTAATAAAAATGACGTGGCTGTACCCGCCTAAGCTTGCAGTCTCACAGCCATTGCAATGGCAGGCACCTGGGAACCTGAGCTAAATTTGCCAGTCTGTGGTAGAACCGCTGAGCATGGCCTGTGCCCAGCCCAGGCACAGCAGGCGACGGAGGACTGGAGCTTCCTAGTCCCAAGTTGCAGCCACTCTGCTCCCAGCTTCAGCTACTAGCTGAGCAGAAGCTGGCTCCCAGGCCCGACAGCCAAGCTGCAAAAAGGTAGCCCCAGGGAGCTGCCGCGCCAGGCCCAGACAGGTGTCTGTGAAAATGTAAAAGAGCGAGTTAGAGCCTGTCAGCTAGGCAGACCTGCAGCTTGAATTAGAAAGATAGCTAGCTCACACACTTTTCATAAGCTATTCAATGGCCATGGTCCTATTTATTGTTGTTTACAGGGCATCTTGAGCCCCTCAGTAAAATTCTTAAAGAGGAACAGTGATTATAATTCCCCCAGGTAGCTCAGGAAAGCTGCTAAAAAAAAAAAAAATGCTGTCTCTAAAGAGGCATGCAATTAACATGCCCATTCAACACAACTTCAAAAAATGAATAGGGAAGTTTATACCCTCCGTTGCCACATGATGCCTTAAATTGTGCCCTTTTTACTCTAAACTTCTTGAATGCGGATACCTGGGAGCAGTCTGCCACAGACAGATTTTGGCATGATGGCACCAAGGTGACCTTTGCTAAAGCAAGGTGGAAAGACCCTTGCAGTGGATTATGGAAAGGACCCGACCCTGTGATAATTTGGGGTCGAGGATATGTCTGTTTCCTTTTCACAGGAGGATGGTGAAGCACAATGGCTTCTGAGATGTCTGGTCCGATGTGTACAGTGGAAGGATGCCAGCCCTGATGACACCGCAGTTGCTGATGACTCCACAGAAGAAGCAAAGGGGGGTTCCCAAACCTGTGCTCCTGACTTAGTCCCATCATGCTGCGGTCTGAGAAGGGAAGAAGATCGTGGTGATGACTGGTGATTCCTAGTTTCTCAGCCGACCTGCTCCACAAACTTCCAGACCTTGGTGTGTCTTGTTTACTTTGGAGCCAGTCCAAGAACACTGACTAAATATTTGATAGCTTATCCAAACAATATCTTGGGACACAGAACTCATTTTACCAGTATGGCTTTCAATCTGCTGTTAAAATAAAGGAATTGAGAAATGAGACCTCAATTTCCCCCCCAGGAAGAGGACTGGTTACAAAGAGTGACTGAAGCCCCTTTCAGAGATGAAGAGGGTAGCCTAAGGGTTTTTGCTGCTGCCCAGAGACTGGGACAGTTACTTAGAAGCAGCGATGCAGTTGAACTCTCACCCATCTGAAAAGCCTTTTTTTGTCTTTTGATTAGAATAGATTTAATGGAATTATGATTCAACAAATTGCATGTTATTGTTAATTTCTATGCAAGAATTATGATATTAGCCTGTTGATGTAACTGCTTTAGTTCACTATGAAGAAGCTACTGATGAGAAAAGGTACGAGCTTGTCTGAGAGAACCTTGACATTACCAAGGAGTCCCGACAAGGCTGGAGTTTCAGACTTTGTGAGCTGCTGGAGCAGAATGGATGCATTTCATGCGTGGCCATGAATCTGGTGGGGGGGGGTCAGGAATAGCATGACAAGGAATAAATTGCACCTCCTTAAAAATGTGTACTGAAGGCCTAGCTCCTAGGGCAGGCTGTTTTTGGAAATATGACTTTAAAGAGGTAATTAAGGTTAAGTGAGGTTATAAGAGTGGGGTCCTAATCCAATGGAACTGATCACATAATGAGAGAGGCATCTCTCTTACCCTGTACATGTACTAACAAAAGTCTACAGGAAGACATATCAAAAAGATAGTCACAGCCGGGCAGTGGTGGTGCACACCTTTAATCCTAGCACACAGGAGGCAGGTGGATCTCAGTGTGTTTGAGGCCAGCCTGGTCTATGAAGAGAGTTCCAGGGCAGTCAGGATTACACAGAGAAACCCTGTCCCAAAAAACGAAAATGTGTGTGTGTGTGTGTGTGTGTGTGTGTGTGTGTGTGTGTGTGTGAGAGAGAGAGAGAGAGAGAGAGAGAGAGAGAGAAAGAGAGAGAGAGAGAGTCAGAGGTCAGCAAGAAGACATGATGGTGCAGGCCTACAATACCAGCATGTGGGAAGGGGATGGATGCAGGAGAATTCAAGACCATCTTCAGCTACATAGAGTATTTGAAGCCAGGCTGGATTACACACAGCATAAGAACCTTAGGAAATCAAAAAGAAAAGGCAGTTGTTTGAGTTAGAAATCTGGCAGGCAGTAGTCAGATAGCATCCTAATCTTAGACTCCTCAAACACCAGAACTCTGGGAGACACTTTTCTTGGGCCACTGCAATCTACAAAATTTTGTTTCAGCAGATCCAGTTAAAAAATGGACTTAAAAAATATAAACAGTCTCAGAAACTTGTGAGACTACAATCAGAGCCAACTGTTCTGCCATCCAAATCCAGAAATGGAGACCAGGTAGGGTAGTGGGCTAAAATGTTATTTTGAAGAATTGGCATTAGGCTGAATAATGGTGAATCAATCCCACGCCAGTTAGGTTTTAAAGGGGTATTTATTTTGGGGGGTAAAACTTACATACACACAAACCGTCAGGAAAGGAGCCTAGTCGCTGGAGCAGGAGCTGGAACCAAGTGCCAGAACCAAGAGGCTGAATGGAGGCTTGCCGCTCTTTTTTAAAGAGAAATATACCACGCCCCAGTGGGCTGGTATTTCAGCAGCTATTGGCTGAAGGAGCAGAAGGTACTCCCACATTAGCTGAAAAATCCATAAGTTTGGCAAAACTTCTAAACCTATGGATTGAAGCAGCTGAACAACTACAAGATGGAAATCCACTCAAAGAAATTCACAGCAAGACACAGTGCAGTGAAACCGGAAGGTAAAATTGCTACACTCAAATAGTGTTTCCAATATTAACGCTCAAACTTCCAATTAAAAACGTGTATGTACAAGGTCACCTACCCCCTACTCCAAGATTACGATGGACAAAGGGAAGCATATGAGTCTCTCCAAGGTTCTCACAACACAATGTCAGTGCAAAACTACAATTAAATTTTGCATTGTATAAGAAAATTCAAGGTACAAATTACTTACGATTGAGGTAAATCTTTATAAATAAATACTCCCAGGTAACTCAGGTAGTTTAGGACACAGCAGACACATCAAAGGTCTCTTCTGTAACTAAGCTGGATATCTTTAGCCTTGAGATGAAAATGATTCCCATTATACATCTTACCAGGCAAGATCTAAAGACAAAAAGTACGGAAGCAGGCCCCAGGCCACTATTCCTCAGCTTCAGGGGAAAGCCGCCCTCACACAAGCTTTGCCACAGCTGCTGCCAAGTCTGTTATCCTCTTCTGGTTGCCAACACTAAGTTACCGAAAGCAACCCCTTCAACTCTTTCCCCTGCCCTTCCCATCTACTTCCTCTGTGTTCCCGTACTTCAGGCTGCAGGACAACTGTTCTACCATTCAGGGCCCTGGGCAAACTCATTATGAACTCTCAATCTCTTATTTCTGTTCCTAAAATGACTGCTCATTTCCTCAGAACATATTTCCTTGGCATTCAGAGACTATCAAGCATAAATAAGATGTCTTTTCTTCACAACGCATATCCTACTCGTAGGGATGTGGCAGTGGACACACACAGTAGGCTGTTAGAAGAGAATTTCCTTTTGGTATCTTCCATCCAGAAGTTATTTTAAAAATGTAAAACCTCGGGGCTGGAGAGATGACTCAGCAGTTAAGAGTACTGGCTGTTCCCCCAGAGGACCTGGGTTCAATTCCCAGCTCCCACATGGCAGCTCATGACTGTCTGTAACTCTTGTTCCAGGGGATCTAGCACCCTCACACAGACATGCAGGCAAAGCACCAATGTACATAAAATACAAAACACGATAAAAAAGAATAATTAAAAATTGTAAAACCTCCTTTCATAGCCTGAGTTATGCCCCACACAAGCAGGTGCCTCGATAACTTTTAAGATAATCTTCTTAAATTTCTTTGTAGCACTCACAATAAATGGTAAATGCTAAAAAAAAAAAAAAAGAAAAGAAAAGAAATCCACTTTGAATGTAATACACTTATCCAGTATGGATTCTCTTTTGCTGGCCAAAGACTGAATGCTCACTAAAAGCTTGTCCATAGCCTTGTTTTCCCCAACAGCGTGAGTTTTCTAATGTTGAGAAAGAGAGGAACTCTGGCTAAAAGCTTTGCCACATTCTTTACACCTATAGGGTTTTTCCCCAGTGTGAGTTTTCTGGTGCTTTGTAAGAGACGAGCTCTGGCTGAAGGCTTTCTCACAGTCCTTACTCTGGTAAGGCTTCTCTCCAGTGTGCGTCCTCTGATGACGGACCAGGGCAGAGCGGTCACTAAAAGCTTTGGCACAGACACTGCACCTATAGGGCCTCTCTCCGGTGTGTGTTCTCTGGTGCTGAGTCAGGGCTGAACAGTAGCCAAAGGCCTTCCCACACGCATTACACTCATAGGGCCGCTCTCCAGTGTGAGTTCTCCGGTGCTGAATAAGGCCTGTACGGTCACTAAAAGCTCTGTCAGATTCACTGCACTTGTAAGGTTTCTCTCCGGTGTGTATGACCTGATGCTGGGTGAGGAACGTGCTCTGGCTGAAGGCCTTACTGCATTCCTTACATGCGTACGGTTTCTCCCCGGTATGGATGCGCTGGTGCTGCGTGAGGTATGAGCGCTGGCTGAAGGCCTTCCTACAGTCGTTGCACTCACAGGGTTTCTCTCCGGTGTGGATTACGTGATGCCGGATCAGGGCTGAGCGGTGACTGAAGGCCTTCCCACACTCACGGCACGCATAGGGCTTCTCCCCAATGTGGTTCTGTGGTGCAGAGTGAGGTGTATGCTCTGGCTAAACGCTTTCCCACGTTCATGGCATTCATAGGGCTTCTCGCCCGTGTGAATTCTCTAATGCAAGACAAAAGCCGAGCAGTAGCTGAAGGCTTTCCCACACTCGCTCCATTTTCAAGACTTCTTCCCTGCACAAGCGTACCCTTGTTTAATCATATCTGAATCCCAAAAGTTCTTACGTGAGCCACGGTTATACAGTCTTCCTCCTTGGTGTTGAATAAGCACTGACCACTGACTAAAGTCTCTTCTAAACTCACCACATTGGTAGTGTCTCGCCAGAGAAAGTCTCTTCTGGGGGACCAGCTCTCACATGGGGTGTTTCTCATGGTCTTCCCGCTGGTTTTCTAAAGAGTCTTCACAGTCCCCGAACCTTTCCTCTGGAAAGCTCTCCAGTAACACTCCGGGGACGAGTCCTCTCCAGAAAAATGCTTCTCTGGAGTTAGCTTCTTGCTTTCTGGTATTGTTTCCCACTCTGAGAGAAACAAATTACATACGGAGAGAAAAATAACTTCCACACTAGAGAAATAATTTTTAAAAAATGCTTGCAGAAAATATATAAACTGCAAATTTCTCCAAGTCTTGCATTGTTGAAAGGACATGAAGAAAAATGGCTGTGTTGAAAAGCCGGCCAACCCTGCTTTAGTCAGCAAGGCAGAGCATGAAGAACAGCAGGAGAACAAAGCCAGGCGGTGGTGGCTTCAGGAACGACAGACAAAAACAGGGTCTTAGGACCATGCAAAGCCTCTGGGGACCCACTCATTTTACTCACAGAGCCTCCCACTGCATTCTTAAGAGGGGTCGTCTTTAGCTTCCCTTCTTGCTACAATCTTTTCCCATGCTCTTAGATCCTAATTGTAACTAAAAACTAATCTTTCAAAACCACACACACACACACACACACACACGCACACATAATTTGTTGTCACTGTTTCAAAATAAGACACAAATTCTAGAAGCTAGTATTTAATGTTGTATGACTCTACCAATTCAAATTATTATAAAGCTCAGTAGTTAGAAAACACATGGTAATCTCTGATTGCTTACTATCATCCCCAACCAGAAAAAAAAAATACAAAGAACAAAACCGAATCACATTTAAAAAAAAAAAAAACAAGAAAGAAAAGAAAAAGAGCAGTGTGTGTGCAGAGCAGGTGCAGCTCCATTTGCTCAGATTGGTTCCCAATGTGTCAGGGTAGCTGTGTCAAAATCCTGATGTACTGTTCAAGGGAAAAGTTTCAATGCTAAAAATAGTTTCAGATCCTTCCAGGCTTCTAAGTGTTACCATTCGGATACTGTTTGAATGTGGCTCCCAAGATTCATGTGCTAAGTTGATAACTGGTTTAGCAGCACTGAGTGGTAGAACCTATAAAAAATGAGGACTAATGATATGTCAGATCAGGGGGCAAGACTTCTGGAACGGTGTTTTGAGGAGTGAATTAATTCTTGCAGGAATGGGCTGCTATAAAAAGAGACTACCTTATGTACTTGGTCCCTTCTGCACATGATCACGTCCCTTTCTGGTCCTCTGCCACATTGACATGGAGACAAGGGAGCTCTTACCAGGGCCCCTAGGATGTGACACAAAGGTCTTCATTTTCCAGAACTGTCTAAGGAAATTTCTTTTCTTATCAAGTACTAATCCTTGAACATTTCACTATACCAACACAAAACAGACCAATACAGATGCTATTTAACATTCAGTCATGTCTCTACATGTTATAAACTGCATACCACACACAACAAAGGGCCTGGAAATTTAAAGGACAAATGGGTAGAAAAGGATCAAAAGCAAATAGATGTCCAGCGAAGGGAAATGAAGAACTGAAGCTCCAAGAATCTCCAGAGAACACATGATTAGTGGAGAACACTAAGAGACATGCCTGTCTTCTCTTAAGCACTCAAGAGAAGTCAAGACGTTTAGGCTGGACAACTATGAACACTTGGAAGAACATAGAAAAATATAGCATTGGAAAAGTTAGAAACTCATTTAAGAATCAAGCAAAACAATGCTTCTTCAATTGTACAAGGATAAGACCAAAGAAATACAATTTCCTGCTAATCTATTGTAATCCATCTTGACAGAAGTAACGTGACACCATTAAAAAAAAAATACCACAGTTAAGAGCATTCATTTGCTTAGCATATAAGGGGTGCTGTTCTAAACGTTTTCCTAAACTATCCTATTTGATCCTCACCACAGTGCGTGAAGAGTTGTCATTGTATAGCTGGAACGCTTGGCTCTCAAAGAGGGTAAGCCACTCTTTAAAGATCACAGAAATACTGAGCACCAAAGATCAGCTTTGAACCAAGAAGACTGGTTTCAAAGTCTATACCCTGAAACATGATGCCATGCTGCTTTTGCTTGGATATGGAAAACAGAGAAACCAACCAATAATCAGCAGACTAAGATGGGGGAAAAAACAAAATTACGTTGCAAATATAAAATAGCATGTAAAAAAAAAAAGACAGTCAAGCAATGTAGGAGGCACAGAGGTCCCTGTGCTCACAGATAAGCACTAGGGAAAACAGGAATCTTTAACATTGCTTCTTAAAAGGGAAAGATGCACAGCTCATTCTTCACCCAGAAGGCTGGGAGCAAAGGTAGCTAACAATCTGGTGGCCTTTGCACTATTTGTGTGGCATTTCTATGTGTAGATCTCCCTTGACTGCTACTATTCACACCAGTTCTCACTTGACCGCTACCCACACCAGATCTCCCTTGACCTCTACTCACACCAGTTCTCCCTTGACCTCTACTCACACCAGTTCTCCCTTGACCTCTACTCACACCAGTTCTCCCTTGACCTCTA